ATATTGTCTATTCAAACTCCATTTTGAAATCACTGTCAAATGAGTTCAAGAGGTTTCGCACAGTGAGAAAATCACTGCACGAAGAGCATCATTGTTATGATTGATCGCTTATATAAGTACGCTCAAACACACCGACTGATAATTAGATCAACGGCTTCATCAAAAATGCTGAGATAATTTAATCTGACCCAGTTTGTGTGATTTATTTTTCTAGGTCTTGAACTAAAGATGTATTTTTCAAGTCAATAATCCATCATAAGATGCTTAATCCTGCCCTACGAACACTCAACACACACTGTCCTCTCGGTTTGTCTAACTCTTCGTGATGTGTTAGTTTCGTAGTGAGATTCAACATAAGGAAAATGTAACCAGCGCATAAAGAAAAACTGTGCCCTTGAATGACTAAATTCTGTTGGGCGTTCTGCTGATGTTTGCTTTAATTAGCGCAGCGCCGCCTGGATACCCTCAGGAAAATAATCTTGGCAGGGAAGCGACTGGGTTTGATTCCTGCTCGGTACTGAGATAACCTCTCTCAGTCAGTGAACATATAATATCAGTCAGCTCCCTGCTCTACAGCCCAAATGACCCTGAAACGCTCTGCCGCCCACCCTCTCCTGATACTGTCATCTTCAACTCTATTGCGTAGTGTCTGCTCTACCGCTGAATGAGGTCATCAGACGGATGTGGTCTTGACACATTACAGTTGGTTAGCATAGACAACCTTTTAGACCCTTACTGCTATTCATTCATTGCCCACAGTGTGATAAGTTAGTTATATCAGTTGTTGCTGCCCTAACTCGCCATGTTTCATACTCCTACTGTGTATAACAAAAAAAAAAAAAACATCTATTCTCCAAACCACTTGTGTTGTGTCTTTAGAGTCTCGAGCCGCAAAACAAAACGAAAACAAATATAACTTCCAACAAAGTACAGGGCTGATTTTTTATATTTATTTTTTATTTTTTAAACACACAATAATATTGTATTTGTCACGTTTTCAATGTGTTTTAGTTCAGTTGTGAGATCTTGTCTATATGCACTAATCTGCATATATTTTCAGAAGAGAAATCTGAATATTGGATAAAGCCAATTTTGTTGATATGTTAGTCATAGGTTTTTACAGAGGGGATTTTGGATATCTCTTTTTATCACTATAAAAAGTTAATTTTCGCCGCGTTTTTAGGAAACTGGAACAACTGGAAAGTGTGGTGTATTTAAAGTGCTGTTCAATTTGAGATTTCTGGCTCAGAGTATGAGAAAAAACCCATTTTGAGAAAATGGCCTTTAAAGGGATACTCCACTTTTTTTTAGAAATAGGCTCATTTTACAAATCCCCCAAAGTTAAACAGTCGAGTTTTAGCGTTTTCGAATGCATTCAGCCAATTTTCTGATATTTAGAAGAAATATCAGTAACTAGACAGTATATGGTCTCATTGACTTGCATAGTAGGAAAAAATATACTGAAATATCAGAAAATCGGCTAAATGGATTCGAAAACGGTAAAACTCGACTGTTTAACTCTGGGGGAGTTGTAAAATGAGCCTATTTCCAAAAAAGTGGAGTATCCCTTTAAAGAATTGACATCAGCCAATGAGATTTTGAGTTAAATGCCCCATTGTACTTTCACGATTGGTTGCTGATAAAAAAGGAAATGAACAAATTTGGATCCAACAACATTGTACAGGAGAGAGAGAGCTTTCCAGCATCATGACGGGGTGCAGACAGCAATCGTGGAGCAATCGCGCCAACTTTTGTTGAATTTAGGAGAAATCTACAGGTGCAAATTGACAAAGTGTAGTAAAATAAAGATCTAAATGTGTATTTTGACTTTTTTTCACCACAAGTCTGAAGGAAGAAATGTTATTGAAGACAAATAGCCCAAAAATTACAAAATTGACCAGTAAAAAGAAAACAATGTTTTTGCCTGCCGTGTCTCCCCTCAGGAATGAATGCACAAACCAATGCTGGGCAATGCACCAAAAAAATACAGCACCATCATTCATTAAACATCATAAATTGCATCTATATTTCTGCCCTAAAACAATTTAAGAACTTGCAGACACAATCAACTGCTCTATATACAGTATGTACGTTACATTGACAGCACCATTTAGCTGACTTTATTCACTCTATGCATTCAGAGCACCTGCGTCGGGTTCACTTGTGTCTGTGGCATTTCGGTAATATTATACCCAAAGAAAAAAGATGTTTCGGACTATTGATGCGACATTTAAAGCCAGCTGCCACTGAAATTCTCTGGACTGAGGCTATTACCCAGAGGGCCTCACCAGTCAGCTCTGAAAGCATCATGTTTCTGGAGCTTTAAAGAACCCTTCACATTGAATTAGGCCAGGTAGGGTACGCGCCAGACCGTGGCAGGGCCTGTTTTCCAAAAGGAACATACTTACTTATTCTGTATTTCATTTTTTTCCCCTTTAGTTGACCTCTGACCTCAGCTGTGACAGCTTTTTTCACGAATGCTACTAGGCAGCAAGCAACTGTGTTTATTTTTCTTCTACAACTATGACAGTAAATCTATCAATCTCTATGCCACCAAGTATGAGTTATAACTAATGAATGACTAAGGCAAAATAACAACTAGAAACAGCTGTGGAAGGATATTAACAATCTGGGGATGGATTGGGCGGTACCGCCCCCAAAATGGCATACTAATGGCATACAAATGTTTAATTATCTTAAAAACTATTAATGATAGAGAGGTGAGGTCTTTTTTGAAGACAATGGTATACGGTGTACTCACTTCTTTGTTGTACAACTGAGTATAAGGCCAATGAAATTTATGTTGTTAAGAATATTATATATATATATATATATATATATTATAGCATTATTATCTTATTGTTTTAGCACTTAATGATGGCAAACAGTAAAAGATTTACCTCAGAAAAAGCTCTAGAACAATTACTGCAAGTGAAGAGGAGAAATCCGATCGGATGATGAAGTATTTTACTTTTGATTAAACAATTACAAATGTCTGTCAAGCAAAGGGGTTGAACAATATATTTTTTGTTCAAAAACGGTTCACTATTGTTGTGTGAGGTGTGATTTTCAGGAATAAATAACAAAAATGAAATTTTCATTTTTGAAATGATCTAGTTTATTGTACATTTATTGTATATGTTTCACTCATACTTTCTTTATAAGCACATTACATGCTAGCTTAGGGTCTTCTGAATCTATAGATACCAAACACATGGTGTTCCATCTCCATATGGTTTATAAGCCCAAATGTAAAAATAGAGAAAACTGACCAAAAGGGGCTTAGTCCCCAAAGGGTTAAATAACAGAAATATGAAAATGCAGTTTGAGTTGAATATAATACATGCCTGTTCTGTGACATGCAAATATAAAAGATGGAAACCATTAAGTTAGAATATGAGCTGAGGAGCTAATATTTTGTTTTATTAACTTATATATTTCTATTTTAATGAAAAAGTCAACTCTAACAGCATATCCTTGTCTTTTTGTCCATTATATTGCCACTCAAAAACAACATCATACCTCACATCACATCTAAATTGAATTATGTGTGGAGAGCTTGGTGTGCCTTACAACTTGATTATGTAAACACATCATATCCAGATGATTAGTCAATAGAAAGCAGTGCTTGACATGGATGTGTTTTGAATCACAGATCTGTCATTTTTGGATATGAAGTAATAACTGAGGAGAAAAACATTCAGGTAGACCTAGTTCTGATTTGTTTTCTAATCTTTATGTAGTCAATATCCGTTACAGTACATGGTTTACATAGTAATGGCTCCTGGATTTTGTAATGTATGAAGCTTATATGACATTGGGCATATAAAGAACTACTTGAAATCCGAGCTGAAAGTCCAGAATCTGACTCCAAACCATCATGGCGTTTTTTTCTAAACTCTAAAAAATAAATGTTTTCTATTTGAATATATTTTAAATGTAATTTATTCCTGTGATGTCAAAAGCTGAATTTTAAGCATCATCCCTCCAGTCTTCAGTGTCACATGATCTTTCAGAAATCATTCTAAAATATTGTTTTGCTGCTCAAGAAACATTATTATCAATGTTGAAAATGGTGATACTTAATATTGTGGTGAAAACCGTGATACGGGTGTAACCACTTCAACCAGGTCCCACTCGACCCGCTCCGAGCGGGCCTCGAACCCGGGTCTCCAGCATGAGAGTCGGGCGCTCTAACAAGGAGGCTAAAGACACAGCTTACACAGGTTTACTTACACAGGGTTAATTGATGAATAAAAATATGATAATAATTATAAATGTGCATTGTTGTTGAAAAAATGCTGTTTGCCTCAATCAAACCTAAATGTCTCAAAGAATGTTGATAAAGATTCCTCTCTCAGAGTCTCATCAAGTTACGGCATGACAGCTGCCAACATCAACATCTCTACTGCTTTTTCATGTGAAATTCCATATCTAGTAAAATATTAAAGGGGCAGTTCACCCAAAAATGAAAATAAACTTATCTCATTCCAAAGCCACATGACTTTCCTTCCTCCACAGATCACAAAAGGCAATATTTAGAAGTTGATATTTTCCATACATTGACCAGGCACCATAAAAGTGATTCCTACAATGAACTAATTCCATGCGTTTTGGAAGCTTTGTTTGAGGAAAAGTCCTAAATGTAAATTATTCACACACTGGTAATCACTGCAGCTCTCAAATCTAATTCACAAAAAAATGAGCCTAAGGGGAAGACTTTCTATAAATAACAACAAATCTAAATTTCAGTTTGCTTGGCGTCAGAACACTATCTAGTGCACAAGTCAAATGACCTGCTTTAAAGAAACATTTATTTTGCTTTATGCTGCTTGACATTCTGTGTTCACTCTTCATAAAAGAAGCAGTGCGTAACATCTTCTCTTGTGCTCAAAGGAAGAAAGTAAGCCATGTTTTTGCAGGCTTGTGAGTAAATGATGACAGAATGGTGGCTGCATTATTCCTTGAACTCCTCCCCTGCTGTGTGATTTGAAGTGTACCTCTATCTGAGAAGTGTAGAAAGGCTGGAGATGCTCATGAAGGCTCCACTGGCAGCGTTAGCTCGGAGTATAGCTGTAGACTCGGGCTGCTACATGTGGACAGGCTGGCAGAGAGCAAAGACTCGAGGCATCGGCCCGGGAACATGAGAGTATCTGCCGCTCAGAGCCACGGCTGTCAGCGTTGCCGATTTTGGAGCTCCATCCACCTGTGAAAGGAGAAAGGGAGGAGGGACATTTACACGAGACACAAAACATGTCTGTCTGGATTTTTCGCCTCTCGAGACAAGAAGGCCAATGCATTTCCAGGACAAAAGCAAGAGCTAGACACCTCCTTTTTTTTCCGACTCGGAAAACAAATGGAACGAAAAGAAAATGGAATGCGGCAAGAGCGAGGACATTAATAACGACCCAGAAGTGTCACGCTGTTTGAACGTTCCTACCATCACTCTTGATAATAGCTGCCATACGCAATATATTTAGCTCCATTCTCTTTGAAAACAAATCCTTGTTATTATTTCAAGTGTTTCTTTTACAGTTGTCTGCCTCTTGCATTGCTGGTGGTTGTATCTGTCCCTCTGGACAGTTGGCACAATTACAGTTTGTTCTGTTGTATTCTCTAAATTCATGCCACTGCACAAACAAATGATGCATAAACCAGCACTTTTTTTTTTCTCTCTGTCGATTGCACCATTTTAATTACTTCTTTCAGGGTGAACTGAGTGTAGGTGTAATGTAAAATTTCCACAATGAGCTTGTGTTTGATGAGTAAATCTCACAAAATGTCATATTTTAGGACCATTAGCATTGTGACGGGGTTTTCATGATCATTAATCTGATGACTCCAATTGAACTACAGTACATAATGCAATAGCTGAAATGAAATAATGCCACAAAGCAAGTAAAAGATAATAAAAGATTTTTTTTTGAGGGATTCTGTTGGTTGAAGTGTGTATCATAAACCCTTTCCCCACACACCCCATTTTGGCAAGTGCACTGTAAAAAAATATTTTCAAGATTTGTTCTTTTGTCAAATCAACTTTATAATAATTTATTTAGTTGAGATAACTTATTATTTTGAGTTTCTGATGATTAAATTAATCTCATTCATTGTATTAACTCACTTTTGCCAGTTCAATCAACTTAAAATTTTAAGGCAACCCAGGATACTTACTTTTTTAAGTTAAACAAACAATATTTTTTTACAGTGTAGTAATCACAACGTTTTTTTCTTTTGTCAAATCAACTTAAATAATTTATTTAGTTCAGATAACATATAATTTTGAGTTTTTGATGATTAAATTAATCTCCTTCATTGTATTAACTCACTTTTTCCAAATCAATGAACTTAAAATTTTAAGGCAACCAGGTTACTTACTTTTTTAAGTTAAACCAACAATATTTTTTACAGTGTGGGGCATAAATGACATACCCAAAATAAAAATAAAAAGTTTAAATCTCATAAGTCATTCTGAATAGACACATAACCACATGAAAAGTGCGTCATTAATAACTCACCAGTCTTCCTTTCTGGACTGGACAATGGTACATATGTTTTCAAAGCGGACTAAATCTAAAATATCTTAAACTGTGTTCCGAAGATGAACGGAGGTCTTACGGGCTTAGAACGACATGTCATTAATGACATACTTTTCCTTTTTGGGTGATCTAACACTTTAAAACTTACTATGGAGATATGTGAACCCAGTCACCCAGCCCTGAAACGTCAGGGTAAAGCGCACAGGCTCACAACTGAAGGAATACATATGCTTACAAATCAAATGCTTTGGTAAAGTCACACAAATTAAACACTGAAGTTTATAATTACTATGTTGTTGTTGTTTTTTTACAGTGGGTCATAATATATCCTATCTTTTAGTTTGTCAGTGCGTTTTGTGGTGTTAGGAATTGTTTTTCTGCGCATTTCCGCACTAACTCAAAATGTGCGTACACCACCTCCTGAGCTGGCGTAGGGTTTGAGCGTGCCGTACGCCAACGTCCATACTGATAAATCTTAAAGTCACCGTGGTTTTGGGTGTAGGCTGGAAATTTGGTGTCGCACTTTGGATAAATGAGGTCCGTACGCCTTATTCACGGCAGCGCCATCTTTGATTTTTAATGAGAATGAAAGCGAGGCTGTGAGGGATAGACTTGCATCTCTTCAATGGGCTGTACTGTTATTTAATGTGTTTCCGGATTGTTCTGCTCATGAAACACTGGAAAAAATATCTTTCAAAGAAATGTCAGTTGACAAAAAAACTCCCGACAATGTAAGCTGTGGAAAATTGTAAGTAATCTAGCCGCTTTATTCAGCTTTTTACAGCGGATGCCATTGGAAACACGTTAAGTCTATCCCTCACAGCCTCACTTTCATTCAGTACCTGTCATGGCGCTGCTCTGAATAAGGTCTATTGTAATTACTATAATAAAAACATAGTATGTACTTGGGGAACGGGACTGTAAAATCAAGTGCCTCACGATCATATTGCATAATCTAAAATGTGTGCCATCATTGATCTTGCACATGCAAAATATGTATATGCCTCCTGCAAGAGGAATATGTGGTGACTCCAAAGTTGACAGGGCAGAAGCTCAGCTTAACAATGCAATATCCTCTCATCACACCGGCTTTAGATCACAGAGCTCCCCCTCCCTATATCGAGTATGACACAGGGTGCAGATTAGTGTCTATGTACATGGCCGTTCTCTCCTCAGTGCATCGTCAGAATGAGCCCAGCTGCCTGGGGAGAACAGGCGTTTCTTTATCAAGACTCTGACTCACTTTTGGCCTGTCCTCAGTGACTCTGTGTTATCCGCCTGCTCTGTTGAGCCCCAGAGTGAGGTTAAAAAGACAGAAGAGCAAAGAGCTGTATCCAATATTCCAGTGGGGTGTCACGGCACCCTCTGGTTGTTCCATTACCCACCGCAGCACATATGTATTAATGGCTGCTGTAGATTTTTTTAAAAAAAAAAAATTTCTGTTAGTTCCTCTCTTTTGCTTTGAAGTGATAGTTTATTTCACAAAAACCCTGGCATCTTAGGCTGAGAACACACTGTGCAGTTTTTACCACAATTTGGCCAACTGGGACACATTTCAGGATTTCTTTCATCATAGACTAGAGCAAGTTTCGTGTGTAGGCATCGCACATTCATTTTGATGGCCATATTAACAGGGAACAACATTCACATTGCCTGCATACGTGATGCTGTGGAACAGAAACATTGATGCAACAAATGAAGAGTTCAGATGCAAAAGCCTCTAAGTGCCATTCGAAATTTTCTTCTAGAATGATCATTTTTATCAAGCTTGTATATTTAAGTTCAATGATTTCACTTAAATGGCAATGATAATTACCTATTAATTGTTATTTAAGTGAAATTACTGAACTTAAATATACAAGTTTGACAAAAATCATCATTAAAGAAGAAAATTTCAAATGGCATTTAGAGGCTTTTGCATCTGAACTCTTCAAGTACACTTTCGGCTATTTTTCGAGTCTATTTTCACCACACATATTAACTAAGCACTAAACTTAACAGAAAATACATTGGCAATGCATTATAATCCAGTTTACAGGGCTCTAAAGTGTCACGCATTGAGAGTGACTCACTCATTTCGGTCTTTTGCCACACATTGTATTTCTCACACGTAAAAAAAAATAAATATTTATAATATATTTAATATGCCTGGGTTCTTAGTCGAGCCTGTCCAATCAAAAAAAAGAAAAGAAAGGGGCTGCACAATAGCCAATCAGAAAAGAGCACTACTGTATCTGGGTAAGATTTAACGCATCAACCAATGACAAAAACAAGCATATCCTAGGATTGTTCACGTGATTCTTCAACAACATCTTCTGAAAGTTCAGTTTACCCACAGAGGAAAGCTTCTCAGAAGTCAAGATCTCCTGTTTTGATGTTGCACACAAATTCACAACTTGTTTGACACAAACAATGACAACTTGACTGCTGTTCGAGAATGATTCCCAGATAATTAGTATCAGTTTTTCATGAGTGTCTGTAACTTAGCCAACAGTTTTACAGCCTGTTCACTGACAACACCTGCTCAGAACAAGTAGTCTAGGCCTAGTCATATTTCCTCATCACACGATAGCTGACATATTGTCACATTATAAACATCTCTCTCCAAATAGGCTTAATAATTTTATTAGCACTAACTAAATTAAAGTGCATTGCATAGTTGATGTTATAGTTGACTTTTAAAATCATGTCATTTTATAATTATATCCTGGCCATGGATGCATTTATATGCATTTATAAATTCATGCATTTATAAATTCATATATATCTGGACTTGCATTAATGCCTGGTCACTTTATCGCTCTAGCACTTTAATACTGGACTCAATACTTACACTTTTTGATGGTCTTTTTTTCTTTTGTTGATATTTTGACTATTATTGTTATTATTGTTATTTTGTTCTTTGTACTGTCTTCTTTTTATTCTCCTTCTCTTTTCTTGCTAAAACTGCTGCTGGAATTTTCAATTTCCTTTTGGGAGTCATCCCTAAGGATTAATAAAGATAAGTCTAAGTCTAAGTCTAAGTCTAATTTATCATTGCATCTTTCTTTCAAAGATGTTCTCATCCGCCCTGAGAGAAAAGCCCCCTAAAAAGACCAGGTTAGACGATGCTAGCCCAGAGAGGGTGGCGAAAAGGGTTGGTCCATTATATATATTCAGTTTATTTGCCAGGCCCATTAGATAAAGGAGTCCAAAAAGGCAACAAACACTTAGAATAAACAACACTATTCATAATCTATCTCACTCACACACACATGTGGAAATTGAATAAATTATTAATAACAACATAAACACTAATAATAATAATGACACACCCCCATTTCCACAACCTGCCAACCTGGGTGGATGGATGGATGGATGGATGGAAAGAATGATGGATGGACTGTTTTCCAATATGAGAAAGACTGTTCATTTTAAATGTGTTAATCTGCTTAATGTTAATTTTATCAACATGCAGTGCTTATAAATGGCCTCAAAGCTAAGAGACACAGACTAAATTCCGATTTAGATTTCACGGAGTCTCTTAGCTGCGTTCAACCCACTCGATGATGCTAAATCTAACATGCTGGAACATGTGCTCACGCCCAACCGGCATAGTCTGGAAATCGCACGAACACTCTCAGTGGGGGTTGCCGTACGACTGAACGTGGGCTCAGTTTGTGATTTCAGA